TCATTTCTCCTTATTATCCGGATCGTTAAATACAAAGTTAGAATATTAATGCTGGTCTTTGCCCGGCTAGTCATTAAACTTGTCGTTGTACCCTGGTACTTTCCTAGCAACAAAATAGAATATCTTATATATATATATAAGCGTGAGAAGTGACGAAAGATTATGTAATAAATACAACCTAATTAAATAATGATCAAGTGGGTTTGTGCAAATAGCAAGACATATATCGAATTATTGTTAAATTCGTGGACATATCATATATATGTGCTTGTATAGACACAGACATATTTCTATATATATAATATTAGGACCTTTAAGGGTCATTTTTATTTTTCTAATTTTAAGGTAAATATTTTATAAGATTTGATGCTTAGGATTATTAAATAGATCAGGATAGCTAGCAGCTTTTGCCCTTGGACCACTAGAAGGTCAATCTTTCACTTAATTATCTAGTAGAGTACGTAGTCACTACAAAAAAAATAATAATAATAATAATATTTAACGTCTCTAATTAAACAACGATTTTATAAGAAACCATCGTCTAATGTGTTAGCCTAAAATCATCGTTGTATATATTATTTTTAACGTCAGTTTCCAGAAATTTTCATTAAATGTGAAACCTAACTGCCAAAATTATCATTTTGGAAAGATCTTAAACGATAGTTTTATATATAAACCGTCGTCAAATATTTTATTTAACGACGGATAAAAACCGTCGTTAAATCGTACAGTAATTTAACGACTCTCGATTAGACGACAATTTTTTTAACCGTCATCTAATTTTTTAACGACGGTTATTAACGGTCGTTAAATCTCAAATTTCTACTAGTGAGTGCCAATGCTTCATTGATCTTCAATCTGTTAGTGCAATGCTTCAATCTGTTTGATAGCTTTAATTATAAAGATGATCGAGGGCTTCTTTTTCTTTCCTTTTCATTCTTTATTATCGAGATCAAAAAATACATCAAACCATATAATCAGTTTTAGTTAAAGAAAAAAATACATCAAAATATAGTCAGTTTTAGCTAATTAGAACAGTAACATGATACACTGATCAACTCCAACATTGAGGTCTAAAATTCATATCCCTCACTTCCAAAAATAAAATTTCAAGAAAAAAAAAATGTATCAAAACCTCCTTGTACGTTTGTTAATTGTGTAAGTTTTCACAGAAGAAGAGAAGTAACCGGGGAGTTTACTTGGCCGAGTAAAGTATATATCAATCAAGTCCATTCTTTCACGAAGCACTCTCAATCAAAAACACATCTAAAACGTTGGGGGTCCCTACAAAGTACCTTCGTGATCTAAAGCTTGGACGCGTGGTATTTGAAATGTCTAGACTTTCATTTTCCAATGTTGATCGGCATTCAATGGCCTCTCAAGTAATTTTAGTACATAGAAAAAACGTACGAACTGCTGAGGGATGAAGCATATACATATATTGATTAATTATCTGTCGGCAGGCAGGAGTTAGGGGCCCCATGCATTTAATCACGTAGGCCTAAGACCAAGCGACTTAAGATAACTAATTATACAACATACTCTTTTGCCTAACAATATATATATATATATATACACACACACATATTACGTGCATATTCTCTATATATGTTTTTCCACATTTTGAATTAATTAACTGGTCTGAAAAATCGGCTCTCACATGCACGGAATTGGAAAAATTTATAATATGGGTTTGAAAATCAAATATTAATTTCCTAGCAAAAAAAAAAAAACATAACATGAGTCATGTTTTAGCTGATGTACTGTATTGAAAATGTACATATATGAGCGTTGTAAAGATGTTGCTGAAAATGGACCAATTGACATGGAAATTAATGCAGCAGATGTATATTTTTGTTTTTAGAGGGATATATGATTTGAGTCCTCGTGAGTAGTACGTGTGCTCTTAGCTTCTCCACAACTTTTATCTTCACTTTTTTCTTTGTATATAATTAATTAATGATGTAGTGAACGATGATCGTTTAGGAATTCAGTCATTATCAGATTTTTTTGGGCGATATATTTTTTCTTTGAACATAACTTTTTGAAAGCCCGGGATGTTTCAAAATATTCGAAGAAAACCTTTTTGTCTAATACATGTGAGCTGTGGAAATATTGCATGGAAAATATATTAATATGCGTCTGGAAGTTAATCATCGCCCTCCAAAATAAATGTATGAGTTGATGTTTTGCAGAAATATATTTGGGCGGTGTACTAATTTGACCAGCAGCTTGCTGGTCGATCATGTAGCCAATAGCAAATATATATATATATATATATATATTTATATTTACCAAAAAAGATTTTTTTTTCTTTTTCGTTGCTAGTGTCATAACTCATAGCGACTAAATTACTTTACTATATGTACCAATGAAATGATTAAAAATATATGTAGAAGTAGTCTGCAGTCAATTTAGTTAAATTAATTCATATTATAAGCTTAAGATTAACTAAATTTAAGCAAGAGAACATCGAAAAAAATGTCTTAAATTATACATGGTTCTATCGTGAACCACATTGTAAATATATTAGCAAAGGCCAAAGGAAAACGATATTAACAAGTGTTCACATATATGGTACGTACAATTGAACATCTCTAGCAGCATGGAGAGAGAAAAAAAATAAAATAAAATTCATTCCCATGCATTTTTTTGAAGCTTATAATTATATGAGCCATGTTTTAAATTTAGGTTTCTAAATTAATTCATAAGATACCCAAATCTTAGGCGATCTCCTGTTTTTGTCAGTTCTACCAAAAAAGTAATTTTGAATAATATTTACTTAAAAAACTATGCTCTCTTGTTTACATCATTTGCAAATTCGACCACAAAATATTACAATTAATTTTCAACATGACCTTGTTTTTTCTTCTGCCACTTGGCTTGTGCCTACTTAAATTCCAAGTAAACCCAAGGTTTTGGGTAGTTTTCCAAGCGACAACCTGGCCGGCTTTTCAGCAGGTTGTGCAATATGAATGAAAAAAAGAGAAGAGGAAACACAAAACTAAAAACAAGGATTTGCTCCTTTATTTCATATCCACATGCTGAGCTTCCCCTGCCATTTGACTTAAGTAATGAATCGCATTTTTAATTGTTTTCTTATTCGCATTGTCACTAGTTTAATTTGTCAAACTTCAATTTGCAATTTCGCAGCATGGTAGGTCAAATTTAGTTGTACTCTAACTACAATGTACAACCAAAACAAGTGTAAACGTAAGCTATATGATCATTACCGTTACCGACTCCAATCATATTCAACCATATTATAATGTTCTTATAGCAAAAAATGTGGTGATATATGAGAGATTACACTAAGAGGTTTGTAATACTCACCACTGAAAGTGTGTTCATTTTTTTTTTAAGAAACAATAACATTTTAAGTCTCGTTCGCTTTGCATATTTAAATTTTCAATTCGAGCTGATATACGACATTTTCTGAGAATTTTTTATTGTAAAAATCTAGAACTGAAAACTCGAATCAATGAAATAAACGAGGCATTAGTCTTTTCTTAAATTGAAGAGGTTTATGTTGAGAAGTTGCCACGTGGAGTAATTCCAAGTTAAACTTGGAAATATATATATATATATATATATATATATTTTGGTTGTTCAACGAATTGGATTCACATTACTTACCTCCTCATTTTGCTAACTACTTTGTCCCAAGGGTCCCCGGGAATTTCTTTTCCTTTTTAATTTTTAAATGTGGCTACTAGTGAAATAACTGTATTAAGTAAAACGATTGTGTAGATATTTATCCATTCATAGGAATTGGAATAACCCCTTTATTGGTGAATTCTAATTTAGTCTCACAAATCTCTAGGAGACGTTTAGTACATGGATTAGAATTATTTTCGATTTACGTATATTTTTTGTGAGAGAAAACACTGTAGCGAACAGTGAACCATGATTCAAATCAGGGTACGAATCCATTTACCAAACGTCACATTAAAACTAGGACGAGGCAAACTATTTGACCATGAAAATTGGCACAAAGTTAGCATTATTTAACACTATAAGCAATTAAAAAGGTTCATCAAGCAAAATAGGAAACGTTCTTTGATTGCGTTTGGGTTCAGAATGTCCAAACAATATTTACTAGACCACAAATCACTTCCGAGAACATAGTTAACGGATATTGAACAGTGTTCTCTTACGTCTCTCTCTCTCAACATTTTGTCGCTACTCGATTCGAAGTAGACTATTTTGATTAATACTATTCTACAATTTTGATTAATACTATTCTCTGAAACAAATCTCTTAGAGGACGTATCAGTGTCAACAAATATATTTTAGACTTCAAGCTAACTACGCCCTTAGCTACCACATTAAATGAAAGAAGAACTCACCATAACATGAAACAAATAATCATGCCTAAAATTACATAACTATTTTGCGGAATCACGTCCAAATAAAGCATGATACAACTTACATGTTAATCTCTCCACTTCACTTCTCCAAAAATAGACGAGTTAATTCCCCCACGTTTCTCCCTCTTATACCAAAGCTTTAAAGATTCATCTTCTAATTGGAAAGCACAACTGATTATTGGACCCAAAAAATGTATACGTAAATCGTCAAATAATGGCCTTTAACCATTTTGGTGACATGGATCATGCAGGTGGTGCACAACTCAACACGCCATGAAGGAAACTATGGGAAAGATACCCCCTTAACGTCTCAATTGATCCAAAATCTTCGTTCACCTTTGCTTTTCCAACCGAACAAAACTCATAACTAACAAAAATTTTAATTTTTTAATATGTTTTTGGTGATTTTTTATTTTCTTTCTCATCTACACAAGCTTTCTCAAATTGGGTTTGAAACCGAAAATGCAAAACCCAAAAACTCGAGCCAAAATTTCCTCCACATTATCCGTGATGGGTTAAACTTTTGTCTCCTTGTATAACTCCCCTATGCCTTTCAACCAACTTCTCACCTTACTTGTGCTGTGGGTCCAATGACCTTCTCTATTTATATCCAACCATTGTAGCCATTTCTCTTCAGTCACAAAAGAGAAGGGGGAAAAAAATATATATATATATCCTAATACAATTCTCTGTTTCTCCCCTGCATTGAAGCAGAGTAACTCTGTTTTCTTGAACCAAACAACGCCCTCCAAATCCACTTTTTATCTTCATGGCTCGTCTTATTTCACTACTCTTATTCTTTCTCATGATTTTTTCAACAAGTGCACAGGGTCCTCCACCATCTCCCGGGTACAACCCGAGCTCGGAAGTAAACTCCATTGGCTTTGATCAGGGCTTTAGGAACCTCTGGGGTTCTAAGCATCAAAGTGTTGACCAAGGCCAATTGACCATCTGGCTTGATAATAGCTCAGGTCTCCTCAGTTCATCATCTTACATGTCACTTTAACTTCTTTTTTTTTTTCCTCCCCTTTTCGCGGCCAAAAAAAATGAATAAACTTGCCGGGTTTTGAGCTCTCGATCTTTTCTATATACTGATTTTTCAACATCAAAAAACACTTTCAGTGGAGTGTTTATTGCACTAATTATTATAATTCATATTTCTTATGAACTGCATTATTTTTACTAAACAGGAAGCGGGTTCAAGTCACAGAAACCGTATCGTTCCGGATACTTTGGTACTGCTGTAAAACTTCAACCCGGTTACACTGCAGGAGTTATCACTTCTTTCTATGTAAGGGTTTCATGAGTTTATACGTCGTTTTCAACACTACTTTTTTTCTCTTTCAATTATTAAAGTTTTTTAACCTATAGTTTATTAAAGTTTTAACCTATGGTTTTTTCTTTTTTCACTTGTTGGTATAATATATATGGGAATTGACAGCTTTCTAACAACGAAGACCATCCTGGGAACCACGATGAGATTGATATTGAGTTTCTAGGGACAACCCCAGACAAGCCATATACTTTGCAGACCAACGTTTATGTCAGAGGAAGTGGAAGTGTAAACATCATCGGGAGAGAGATGAGGTTTCATCTCTGGTTTGATCCGACCCAAGATTTCCATAACTATGCCATAATATGGAATCCCACTGAAATCATGTGAGTAAATTAGCACTACAACAAGATAACATGTTAGTTTCGGAGTCTTACGTGTGCAACGGTTAAAAACTGCATGTTATGTCTTATTCTAATACGTGTATACTGTCTGATATTTTTTAATGACTCCGCATCTTGAAGAAAATATCTTCTAAAATTTAAAGTTGAATTCTTCTTTTTTAACTCTTTCTAAGGCCACACCTAAATAATTGCCAATCATTATGGTCCCCACATGAAATATATTATTTAGTGTTAATTTCCCTAGTACCCCTAAACTTTAGGGTTATTCTCACTTTATCCTCTAACTTTGAAAACTCTCACTTTATCCACTGAATTTTGAGTTTCTCCCATTTAAGTCATTTTGTAAGAATTTCTATTAAAATTAAAGAATAAAAATATGAGGTAAGTGTGGCCATATGGTTTTTACATGTTTATTTTTAACAAAAAATCAAATAGAAAGACAACGTGAATGCATTACTCTCTTTTATTTTATTTATTTTTAATAGAAATTACAACATAATGGATTAAGTGAAAACAATTCAAAATTAAAAGAGCAAGTGAGAGTTTTTATAGATAAAAAGCACGGTGAGAATAACCCTATAGCTCATGAGGCACTAGTGATAATAATCCTATTATTTAAACATTTGCAAGCTCTTCTACTTTCTATTCTTAAAAAAAATTATCAATTTTAATTTATAGGTTTGAACAAAAATTTAATTTTTTTTAAATATTGTAATAAAAAAGTTTGAGTTGCTTTAAACCCGTGAAACAAGAGGATCTTAGCTCATATTTAGATACTATTATATGAATGAAATATATGTACACAGATTCTTCGTAGATGATGTGCCTGTAAGAAGGTATCTAAGAAAGAGCGATGCCACATTCCCTATGCGACCAATGTGGGTCTACGGGTCGATATGGGATGCATCATCATGGGCCACGGAGGATGGAAAATACAAGGCTGATTACAAATTCCAACCCTTCATCGGTAGATATAAAAATTTCAAGCTGGCCGGGTGCACGTCGGATGAGCCCGCCTCCTGTCACCCACCCTCAGCCTCACCGTCCCAATCCACCGGCCTGAGCCCACAACAGGAGTCGGCCATGGATTGGGTTCAGAGGAACTACTTGGTCTATGACTACTGCCATGACCCCAAGAGAGACCACACACACACACCAGAGTGCTAGGGTATTGGTTTGGTCATGTGGTCTAAAGTCTGTCTTGTTTATTTTTGTAATTTGTAATTTCTTTTTCGAGGGTTAAAAGAAAAAAAAAAGTTCAAGTGTGGAACAATTGGATTTGGAAGGTGGGCCTTGTGATGGGTCCCGCTTGGTAAAAATTGTTGCAAGGTCAGTTGAGCGTCCGAGGCCCCCCCATATCTGATTTTCAAGTCATCAACTTCGGCTTTATGTATTTGTCGTTGTGACCTTGTTTTTGTTTGTTATTGTTGAAAATACCATACCCAATATATTTTGTGATGCCCAAAAGAAAGAAAGATAATAAAAATGGGTTTGATTACTTTTGGCTTTTAATTGGTTTTCATTTTGACTTTATGCAAAGAGTATAAAAATACCTGTGAAGCTTAATTGGGTTTGGATTCTTTTTCCCCCTCTCTAGGAAAGAGGATTTGGATTTATATAAGGACAAATTATTTTTATTCCCTCTAAGAGTTTGAACAAAATGTCCTCTAAATTTTAAAAGTAATAAGTTTTTCTCCTGAACAATTCAGCGTTAGCACGCATCTCTCTTTTCTGCCCCTTCAATTACATTTTGAACGTTAAGTGTCACGTGAAAGTCGTTGAGGCATTTAATTTTTATTATATTCTAAATTGACGATTTTGCCCATATAGATTGGTCAAACTCACCTAATCAGAAACATATTAACCCTCACTCTCTTTCCTCTCCCTTTCTCGTGCACGACCACCAAGCTCCGGCAAGTATTCCGGCGTCCATTTTTGACACCTCCAGGCTCATCGGAAAGCTCTTGTCGAGCCGAGTCTAGATTGGTGTCTTGCGGCTACCAACTCCGCCGGATGAAGGCACACTTTCCAGTCAAAGTTTTGAAAAACCCAAAACTTCCAATGGCTATAACTTTTCCGCCCGACCTCTGATCAGAGTGATTCCGATCTCTATGAACTCAGAGTGATGAGACGAACAAGACCCACCCGAAGTTTGTCGTCGATTCCCGCCGAAAAAGCTTCACTGCAACCGCCCTCCACGGCCGCCACACCTCCTCTCAGAAAATTGCAGTCCCGGCGGTGGTGAAGTGCACCGCCCCCATCATTTCACTCAGAATAGATGAGTCAATCCCGACCAGTGGCTACCACCATCCTCACCGATTTGCAGGAATTCAAAGTCGCCGCCGCCGCTCGCCGTGGAGGAGTTTGGTTCCGTCAATTTTGGCCGCCGTTTCTCATGTCGTTGGTGTCAAAACACTCAAAAGTAAGTGGGTAACAAAAGTCTCAACTCAATTTCTCCGATCTGTTGCTCAAAAACCGAGAACCAAGTCACTAGAAACTGAGAACCAAGTCGCCGAAAACCGAGAACCAAGTTGGGAAATTCGAATGAATTTTGCCATATTTCTAACTCAACACAGTAAATTACTTTTTTGCCCTTAAAATGAGAGTCACGTGTCATCCACGTGGCACTTAACGTTCAAAATTTAACCGAATGGGTAAAAAAGAGGGACTCGTGCTAACGGTGAGTTGTTCAGGAAGAAAATTTATTACTTTTAAAGTTTATGGGGCATTTTGTTCAAACACTTTAGTCTAGAGAGAATAAATGTAATTTGTCATCTATATAACTTACACGTGAACTATATTTATGTCTGTGAACTTGGACCGCAATGTTTTCTGTTCCACCTGTGAAGTATTCACATAATATTCCTTCGTCGATCACAAGACGTCTAACTAGAGGACAAAGTGAACATCAATTGCCATGGCCCAAACGAGCCTCTAAAACATAAGCAACTTCCAAGCCATAATTCTCTTTATAGGAGTTTGATATATCTAGACACTAGTGCCCTACTATTTGAATAAGAATCAAGTGTAGAATACCTTTTTGGCGTAAAACGAAAGTGTAACAAAAAGGTCTACTTCTAAATTCTAATTGATATTTTTCGTACTTCTTTGAGATATGAAAAAAGATCATGGAGTTTCACACAAAATGTCTAAAATTCAGCATATGCTTTCTCGAATTCTTCCTCTTTTAAACCAAGCATGCATGACGCATGCGAGTAAGAGTAAGACAGAAAATTATCTTACAATGTCTAGGTGTTGAAAAAATATCAAATTAATCGTAGTAGAATAAGAGGAAACATGTATGTTGTATTTTCCCTTTCATTGCTATTGTCATCGATGGATATAACAGCTTTTTGTTATTGTTTTTTTTCCAATTCCATAATCTGTTATGGGTTCGTGGAAAATTTTGACGATTCGGTTTCACTGACCGACAACGTCAATTACCATTTTGGGTAGTTATTTCTATCGGTTTTGATTTTTTTGAACGGTATCATTCGGTTGCTTGTCTGTGATCGGTTTATTTGAGCAGCCCTAGCTCTAATCAGGCAATCAACAGTGACATGATTTTGTCCTAAATCAGTAATAACTAATTAAGGGCACGACAAGACTATGTGTAAATATCAATAATCAATGTTGTCAAAATAATTTAAAAATAATAATCTCAAAATAATTAATAACAAGATTGATCAGGAATGAACTCAATTATGACCATGTGAAAATCACCATTGGATACTCAGGGATGTTTGTTTTATATATTCGTCCATGATTCTGAATTATGATTCATAATTTTTTACAATGTTTTCTCTCACAAAAAATACACGTAAAATAAAAATGATTCTAAATCATGATTCTAAATACATAAACCAAACGTCCTCTCAGAAATTGGAACCACCAATGGAAGGTATAATTTGGTCACAAATAAACATATTACATTGATTCATTATCCATCAATGCACGAATAAGCTGTTCGTGATTACTGGTTTGATTTGATCATAAAAACATTTGATTTGATCATAAAAGCATCTTATACGAACTATGTTCTGTGCTTTAGGATATTATAAAAGAATACTAATTATAAAATGTGGAGCATTTATGACAACTGTTCATGAAAATAATTCAGATATAGAAAAATTAGTCGGCTAGGATTATCACGAATATGTCGACGAAAAAGACAATATAAATGAATACAATCAAACAAACAATCAATCATTTATCAAAGGAAAAATTGTTAGGATTAAAACTTTTTATGGCGCTAATAAAAAAGTTTTTAAAAGACAACGTTAGTTTTATTACTTTCTTTCACATCATTCTACATATAACAAGTCACTGCTATAGTTATCATGGTTAATAATAAAATACATTGTTAGGATTGTTGACAATTATTATAATTATTAAAAGAATCGGACTTGACAGAGGAAAAAAAAAAAAGCAGAGCTAATATTATTTTTGAAATACTTTTTTTAGTAATATAGAAAAAAACCCTATTATTTTTAGGCTAATAATGGAATTCGTGGCAAGTAATTAAATCAATAAACAAAATGTCCTGCAACATCATATTGCTTACTCCTAATATAGTATTTGATTGAAAAAAGACATTAGTTACGTAAGGACCTCATACACTAATTCACCTTAGAACGTCAATAGAACAAAGATTACAATTTCATTAGTCAATATGGTGATTATAAGATGCTTACTATATATATATATATACATCTCACAATTATTATTACTTTTTTTTTTGAAATGTGGCATCTCATAATTATAAGCATAACGTCATAACAACTAACAAATCACATCAGATAATACCCTTTTGCAACTAGCAAAGCTTAAAATCTCGCGTTCGATTGAGTAAACGCGTACTAATAATATTGTTTTACGTCTAGCTTCATCATGTCTTCCAAATGGTTCACCAACAGCCCATTTGTTTTCCCTGTGAACACGGATCATTTATTATCAGATAACCATGGACGACGTTTGTTGCTTATTCTCATACCCAAGGAACGTAATAATTTTTTCTGTGTCATTTTTCTTTTTTTTTTTTGTGCCATTTGATGTCACATTAATATGGAAACACACAATACGATAAGGCGATTACGTACTTTATGACTATATGGTCTCTATATTTCAATATATCGTCATATAGTAAAAAGTATACATTATGGCTGTAAATCGGCCGGGTTGGACCGGATTAGCCTAAAAGTTTAAGCTGAACCGATCTTTTGGGGTTGATAAAAGTCTGGGCCGAATTATCTCACCAGGCTCACGTATCCAAATTGATTCGGCTTGCTCGGGTTCGGCTCGGGGTGTCGGGTTAAATTAAAGATTGCTGAAAGTATGTGTTGTCTTCTTCATGTCATTGTCATATAAGCTGGAAACTGACTCATAATCCAAAACCTTCGATGAAAACTCAGCTGACCAATAGCAGAAAATGATCAAAGATTTAACAATGAGAGGTGAAAGAAAAAATGAGGTATGAAGCGAGTTAGGATGACAGGTTGGTATAGTGAGAGATAGGGAGAAGATAAAAAACAAAAGAAAGAGAGAGTGAAAAAGACGAAGGGGCGGTTGTTTTCAGACTAGGGTTTGAAGGTTTTTTTAATTGTATTATTGTTTTAATGGAGAGCATTAGTTGTTGATGCTTGATGACGCGTAATGGAAAATAGGAATCTTAACTTTTGAGGTGGCAAGATTGAATTGACACCTAACTTTTGTAATAATAACATTAGTCCACATGTTAATGTTCCAGTCGTACTCTTCTTTTTTCCTCAAAAAGGACGGATGATGCCTTGAATATATGTGTTTTTAAAGCCAAATGAATATAATATTTCAAAATTTTATTAGAAGAAGTCCTCTTCTGTCTTTGTATTCGGCCGGATTGGGGTCATCGGGATTTAAAAATGTCAAGCCGCTGGCCAAGCAGAGAGCTTCAGGTAAGCATTTTTTAAGGCCGAAAAAATTAAAACTCAACTCAAAACTGACATTTTCAGAGTTTTTCGGGGCGGCTCGACCGGGTTTGTCGGGTATTCGAGGATTTATTACACCCCTAATATACATGTTATCCAATGTGATGAAGGCCTAACTCGCGTGGTTGTGCTTGTACCTAAAAAACTGAGAAGATCTTCTTTTAACCTCTTAACATAAACAAAGGAATATATACATCCAAACGCAAATAAATTAATTCAAAGTTGATATGTACCATACTCTCTTCTCGTAAGATGATATACACTAACTAACAGCCCGCTCAGTGCTACATCATAGACACATTGAAAAGGTAAATAATTGCAACAATATAAAATGACAGCAATGGAATGCCAATCCTCAGGCTTTATTTGTAACATCTCTATTCCTTGGTAATCAAACTCCAAAGATCTATGAACTAGCTCATGTTTGATTAACCATTACTTAGAAAAAGTGAGTCGTCGATTTTGTCACTTTTTTTTGTCACTTTCTGCATTCACTATTTGACATATTGACTCTAATATCT